GTCAGGATTTTACACCGACTCTAGCCACATGCATCACAGGTAGATTCTAGTAAAGCATTGATTAATGCCTGGTATTAAAACTGGTTAACTGGACTGGTGGCCATTACTTTGGGCCCATGTGGCTGAAAACCACACGGCACGACGAACCCGATCGAACCAGAGAGACACACATTAGCCTAGGTATAACGGTACCTAGGATTTCTGTCGGCTAATGTGTCTCAGGTTTAGAAAATGGGCCGACATCTCGTGTAGTGTGCGCTGGACATTACACTAAGGAAACGAGGAAGGGAGGGTCAGTGCAGAGCACCGGAGATGAGCCTGTTTTCATTCAGTGTCATCAACAGAAAGAGAAAAGGCAGGAAGAGACATAAAGCCGATAACTAAAATGAGGTCGATAGGTTTAATTTATCATGCGATTAATTGATTTATCGTTTATCGCGACAGGCTTACTGGTACTGAAGGATTCTGGTAGGAGCCTGTGGATCAATCAGAACCTCTGATGGAGGGTGTGATGTGGGTCTGGAGCTCCTCAGGGCGGAGTACTGAGCCTCCTGCTGCAGCATCGGGTTTCGGTCTAAAGGAGAACTGACCTGGCTGCTTCAGGTGAAACGTTCTCCAGAGTTTACATGGAGTTACCATAGTAACCGATGAATCTGATCCAGGTGAAAGAACCAGAATTTCTGGGTCAGAACCCGTCTGTGTTCTGCAGGTTTCGGCTTACGGATTCATCACCAGGAACTACGCCGACTTCTCTGATCATTACTACGACTCGGTGCCGAGGCCGCTGCGCTTCTTCGCCAACCACGACCTGCAGATGGAGGGCGGCCTGTGGGAGGCGCTGCATCGCCGTGGGGTGCTGCGGTTGTTCCAGAGAGGAAGAGGAAGAGGTGAGGATCCTCTTCTTCTAAAGCCATCCAGACTGTCAGGAAACTGGAATCATTTAACTGAATATGGGAAGTTTTACCTTTTATTTTTGTTATAATTTTCTGTTCTAATATTCATCCACATCTCAGCTAATTCTGGTGGGTTTTTATTTTTATTCGTAGTCTGGAATGCTAGCTAAAAGGTTAGCTTGGCTAACCCTAAAGCATTAATCATAAACATTAGTCCCACTAATGCTACAGCGCTATTTAGCGAAAGCCATTGCTAAAGCGCTAACGTCGACTGTGTTGAAATGAAGGCTCTCAAAACAATCCATATATTTGAATCCTCATGTTATTTAAAAAACATGAGGAAACAGCAGTGTAAACAGTATTCACTACTTCAAAATAAGAGCATGAATATATATATAAACATATAGTTACTTAACAAGAAACGGTTAATAATCTAAACTTCAACACAGGCGTTGAACTTTATTCAGTTGAAAGTTTACAAAACAGCAAAGAAAATTTTTGCTTTAGATTTTATCTGGAAAATGAATTTAGGTGAAGCTAAGTGCGCTAAAGAATTAGCTCTGCTGTTAGCGCGTTAGCACAAGTGTTCCCACCAATGTTTGTTCCAATTATAATAAAATAAACTCATCGTTCTCTTAAGGTCCGATTTCTCAGCAGCAGAAACAATTAAGAGAAAAATAAAAATCTGATCAAACATTAATATTTCTAAACTTCATAAAAATCTGCACAGCAGCAGGTTTTTCCTCCAATCTGCTCTGGCTGAGGAGGAAACATTGATTCAGACTGGTCACTCTGGGTTGTTCCCAGCGTTCCGTACTGGGAACAGACCAGTGCAGCAGCTGGACCCTCCTCTTCCTCAGCCAGGCCTTCAGCATCATGGATTGGACAGGAAGCGGGCCCTCAGCATGATACCTCCTCCACCATCAGAGCAGTGGATGCGTTCAGGATCTTCTGCTTTGCTGACGGGGGAACATGAAATCCTCCAGTTCAGTGATTTGGTGTCTAACTGGGATTTTCGTTGACTTTCTCTGTTGCTGAACTAATTTTTCCGGACTGGGATGAGACGGTCAGGAAAACCTGGAATAACTTTATTTTCCTTTGACGGTCTCATTAAAACCTGCAGGGAAAGTGACTGGAAGCGGGAGGGAAGGAGTCTGACGGATCTTCGAAGCTCCGCGGAGCCGCGACAACACAACCGGAAGAGGACCGATTGGGGTTTCAAAATAAAAGCCTAGTTATTACATCTTTGGTATGAGAACATAAAATCGGGAGTGGGCAATAAATCAGTTTGATACATTATTTTCTGTTTATGAAGATTTACGTTTTGTAAAACTGATATATATATTTAAATGAATTAGACCCTCTGGGCTTCCGTAGTTCAGTGATGTCAGCCAATCCCGTCAACCATTTTGTTTTCCAGTTTTTATTTGCTTAGATTTTTAATTCAGGTCAAATCCCAGAAGGAATGATTGAAATAATGCAAGTTACTTTAAATATTGTCTGACATTTGTAAATATTATTTTTTAAATTAAGGGGGAGGGAAATCAGATTTTATTTTCATGTTCCATCACCCTAAAATCTTTCTCACTATGTGTAGATGAAGGTTTGTGTTGCTTTAAACTGTATTTTAATAAAAATAAAAACCTTCAATATTGAATAAATATAAGAACAGAAACCATCTGATTTGAGCTGTTCTTTATTTTATTGTACGGTGGGAATAAAAGTGTAAACATATTTTTCTCTTAACTCCAATGAATGATTTTTAAATACTCATTTTTATTTTCATGCATTTATTCTCATTTGGTGACATTATTTAATTTCTTCAGTTTGGTTTGCATGTTAATAAATTTGATCTGACTCTTATTAAAACTGATTCATATTAAGACATTAATAACATTGAGAGATATGACCTTCGGGCTGTAAATGGGTCAGTCCAGAGAATGGATGAAATATTTCATACACGAATAATTAACCATTGGCTGGTTAAGAGACAGAAATGTTGGATTTTAAAAGCTGAGGTTTTATTTTGAAGGCCTGATCTGGATGCTTCCTGCTACCTTCAGGCTAACTTGACAGTGTGAGTAAATTCGGGAGAGTCCAGAATGTGGCATTCAGGCAGAGGAGGGGAAGCTGGAGCCGCGGGACCACCCGAACCCGTTTAAAGGAGCCGAACTGGACCTACAGTCCGGAACCGTGAAGAACCCACAGCCGGTGCCTTCTGGGTCCAGGTAAAGCTCGGGAAAACTGGAACTTTTCTGGAATATTCCCGTTTTCTGGACACTGGGAATTCGGTCTCCACTTTTCCAGGTCCTGTCGGACTTTTCCCGCGGCTCTTCCCGGGAGTTTGGTGGATTTAAAGTTTCAGCCTGAAGGTGAGTCTTCTTCAAGGTTCCGACCGGGGGTTCTGGCTCTGATTTCAGGGGGGAAAAGGTTCTTTTTGGATCGGGTCTAAGTTCGATCCGAAGGTCGGTTCTGGAGCCTCCATGTTGTGTTCAGGTACCTGAACCGAGTCGTGATTTACAGCAACTCTGCTGCATTTGGTTCCACAGAAAGTGAAAGTTTTATTTTCTGTGAGACAAAAAGAGACGCAGAGGGTTCTGGTTCTGGTTCCGGTCCCAGTAGAGGGTTCTGGATGACCCACAGAGCCCGGAGGACTGACGGAACCACTCCGTTACATAACAGACTGGATCCGGGATGAAGCTCTGACCTCCTCTTCATCGCGGAGCTGAAGCGGCTCCTGTTGCCGCAGGGCTTGTTGTGGTCTAATTAAAGCCTCCTGTCACCTCACCTGTCACAGGTGTGTTTGTGTAAACTACGGAGGCCCTGAGGGTTAAAAAAAATCACATTTCACGAGGCTTTAACCAGTTTTTCTTCTACAGACAATAAGTTTTATCACCAATTCATTTAAAAATGAAATTTATATGAATCGGGACTCATCTTGAGTGAGTATTCAAGGAGATTGGTGGAACGTTGAGTGGAAGGAAAATCTGTGGAAACCTGTTGTGGAACATGGATCCTGATTCAGAGCCTCTGCGCCGTTCAGGTGAAGCTCTGATGTGGATCAGCTGCAGGACGGAGAAGTTCTACCTGGATGGTTTGGACCTTCAGGTTCTGAGTCCAGATCAGGTTCATCTCCAAACTGCTGAAAGGACTTTGCTTCACAATCCAGTCGAGTTTTCGGTTTTGAATGTTTTCCTTCCACTCAGTTTTCTCTCTGTTCACTCTGAACGTGACCAGAACCTTCTGGATAGAAAAACATTTTTAAATGATTGTTCTGATGTGAAATCGTTTTGGAAACATGAATATTGATCAACGCCCATTAAAGGCCACTAGTGCCAAGAAAGTTTTAAAATATATAAATGAAATGGAGGATGGATTAAAAAAACCTGATTTTACTGTCTGGGGTTTTCGTTCAATGGTTTCTAATCGGTTTGTAACGTTTTCAGCTCTATCCGAGTTTGATTCAGATGAACTGAAGCAGAAACGTTTTGTTGGAATCGCTGCTGATCTGATCTGGGATCATTAAAACGCTTCTCCACCAGCCTGAAGAGGAGACATGGCTCCTGCTTCCCATGGGCCCACCACCTATGGGAGGGGCCAAAGGGGCCGAGTGCAGGGTGGGACGGGCGGTGGGAGACGGAGGGGACCCTGGCGATCTGATCCTCGGTTGCAGAAGCTCTTGGGACGTGGAACGTCACCTCTCTGGTGGGGAAGGAGGCTGAGAGGTTCCGGCTAGAAATAGTCGGCCTCACCTCGACGCATGGCTCTGGTTCTGGAACCAGTCTCCTTGAGAGGGGCTGGACGTACTTCCA